AAGGGGGGAAGGTGAAAAATGGTATCCTTAGAGCCTCTCCCAAGAGCAGATTGTGGAAGTCAGGCTTTGTATATCAGCCCCCTTTTGCATTCATATTCTTTCTCTTTTTTCTCTCTCTCTCTCTCTCTCTCTCTCTCTCTCTCTCTCTCTCCCCCCCCCCATACTAGTGAGCCCAGTATTGGCACTAAGTCAAGTCCCAGCTGCTGATCCCAGCTTTCCATCCATCCCCACTGAGGTGCTAGACTTTTGAGTAAAGCTGTCTCAGACCCTTCAGACCAGCCCATCTGCCAGCAGAATACCACAAGTGACCTCAGTCAACACCACATGGCACAGAATAATTGAGCAGCTGAGCCTGGCCTGAATTCCTCACCCACAAAATCACAAGGCATAAAAATGGCTGCTGTTTTAAGCCAGGAATTTGGAAGATACTTTGTTACCCAGCAATAGATAACATGCCACAAGTTCATCTTATAATTTCCCTCACTTAGAAGTGCCAAACAAATAGCCAATGGCCAAGCTAATAAACTATAGCAACTAACAAAGCAAGCTCCTTTCTCTTTCCTAGGACCATCCACACTCACAAATGATCTCAGCAATTTTGAATTTCAAACAAATGGCCTATCCATGGACCTATCTGAAATGTCAGTCATAAAATAATTTTCCCTTTGCAATTTATAAACCCTGACAGAAAGGAGCTGTCTGTGAGAACCCAGCCAGAACGCTTGGACAGACATTCTGTTGATAATTTTCCCATTTCCATTTCTGACACACAGAGCCTTTCACTATTGAAGTCAACTTTGAAAAGGAAGCTAGATAACATCTGTTTCCTCCACTGTCCTTGCACACATTTAATAGCACCCAGATATACAAGTTCATTTCCCTAGAGGTTCGCGTTATTCAAGATCACCTCCTGATGATCCCAAGACGAAAATGGCATTTTCTATAGTTCCATCTCCTAGTACAGGCCAGGAATGCAAAGTGGCTAAGGAGGGAGAGGGATGAGATTCCTCTAACCTCAGTGGACAAAACAGTTACCCACACTGCACAATTAGCACAGCACAGATGCTGCAGCTGTCTGCAGAGGCACCCGCAGTATTTCTGACAAGGCAAACCATGCTGATGATGTCAGACTCTTTTCTTAAACAAAAGTGAAATGTGAGGAGGTGAAAACACATGACTGTTGGAAGATGTTTTTCCTTGTTTGGGGAACTGTATTCACAAATGGCTGTGTTACCCACAGTTCTGGGTTTCCCCAGGTCTTTGAAAATCCACATTCCTCTACAATCCTTCATGAAACCCCGAAGCTGGCTGTCTCCCTGGGCTCTTGGTTATCTCACTGGTCTGTCATGCAAGTCACTGAACAGGGAAAATGACTCATGGCTCTAAAGAAAATCCAATTCATTGAATTAAACCCTGGAAAAGAACCTAGATGAGTCATTGTATCCTTCCCTCTGCATCCAGGCGGCACCACACCTAGATCACTCCAGCCAGAATAGAGGTAATCGCATTTTTAATAAACCAGTCGAAGGGAAATCATGCACAATAACACTAAACCCTATTCTTACATGTACCTACATTCCAAAACAATCCAATAAAGACATACAGAGTTAGAGCCCAACACAGAAACTAAAGAGAGGAAATGTATAGACCCTGGCTCACAGAATGCTTTTCTCTAAATTTTTAAAAGGCAGCCCCTCAAGGCAGAGGAGCTGGGAAAAGCCACTGCCTGGGGGAAGCAGCTGCCCAGAGCCAGTGTAGGGCCTGTAAAGTAGATGGGTTGGTTACCCACTCATTCTATCATCCCCTATACCCCACCTTCTGTGCAGAGAACAAATCACAATACCACCTGCAGTGGCCTGGGAGGAAGGGAATAAAATTATGTATGAAATTTCCCCTCTTTCACGTAAAAAAATATCTTTTTTCCTTCCTTGGCCCCTGTTGTTTGTTATCACTGACACTGGGTAACACTGGTTTTTAAAAAATTTATCTGTCACCCTCCACTAATAAACCTGCAGCTGACAGATAATATGTCTTTATCCCTCCAGATACCTGGCAGGTGCTCAATAACCATTCACTACAGAATAAATGACTCTTGGCAAGAATGAACACAGCCCTAGACCACCAACACCTAATGTTTTCCTCTCTTTAAACTAAAGGAAAAGTGTGACATCACCTCCCCTGAGGGAAAGCAACTGACTTGTGGACTTACTGTTCTTTAGAGCAGAATTCCAAGTTGATAAAATGAAATTCTGAACACCTGTGCCCTGTGGCTATAGGATTATAGTCCCAGGCTGGGGCCATCACCCATTGCAAGCTTCCTGTTTGAACAGTCTCTAACCAAGAGCATAAGAGATGGACCATCAAGAAGAGGAGCATCCTTCCTAAT